ATCCTCTAGGTCGGATACACGTGTACCATTTTATATGTTCTGGTCCCTATATTGTCAGTTTACATCCTCTAGGTCGGATACACGTGTACCATTTTATATGTTCTGGTTCCTATATTGTCAGTTTAGATCCTCTAGGTCGGATACACGTGTACCATTTTATTTGTTCTGGTCCCTATATTGTCAGATTGTATCCTCTAGGTCGGATACACGTGTACCATTTTATTTGTTCTGGTCCCTATATTGTCAGTTTAGATCCTCTAGGTCGAATACACGTGTACCATTTTATTTGTTCTGGCCCCTATATAGCTTCAACAAAAAGAAGATTGAGAAAAAACAATAATTAAAAAATTTCCCTCTAGTTTCGATCAATATGGTGAACTGGAAAGGACCCCCCCAGTTCCCACCCCCTTCACTCAATATAAGCATTGTTTTGAAAACAATATTATTATAAGGTGGTAGATATAGTTTTTAAGTTTAATTCTGAAAATTTCCTACAATTGTTTCTGAAACAGAAATTCGCAAGTTACTATGTATACAAAGAAACCAAATTATAAAAGATCATTTTTGAAAAAGATGATGAGTGATCTCTCCTGCATTTTATATCAGACAAAGTTTTTAAGGGTTTAGTTTTCAATCGGGCATGCCACTCTAGAAACTTAATCATTGCCTTCAATACTTTTAATTTTATAATTTTATCAACTTACCTAGAATATCCATGACACTTCCCATCTTTAGAGTTTTGGCCGGAGCAAACCCTGTACTAGCAGTTATATCTGGTAAACCCCCTTTCTCAACTCCTAAACAGAAACCTTGTACTAGCAGTTATATCTGGTAAACCCTCCTTCTCAACTCCTAAACAGAAACCTTGAACTAGTTATATCTGGTAAACCCCCTTTCTCAACTCCTAAACAGAAACCATGAACTAGTTACATCTGGTAATCCCTCCTTCTCAACTCCTAAACAGAAACCATGAACTAGTTATATCTGGTAAACCCCTCCTTCTCAACTCCTAAACAGAAACCATG